TCCTGCTAGCCTCTCCAGGCTCATCTCTCACTCATTTTTTTGTAAGTACCTTTTGTGCTCTAACACACATGAGGTCACTGTGAGTCAGAAGTTGCTTGATGGCAGTTGGGATTTTTGTTTACTATGGGCTGAGCAGCATGCCAGGGACACAGCCAGTAATGAGATCGGATCCTCTTCCACACCTTTTTGCTTTTGCCAGTACCTCACCATCCCATCATCTACAATCAGAACACACTCCCGTGTGTCCTGCCTCCCAGGTTACCGTCAGGAACCTGCCTTGTGTCCTCAGACCTTGGTTTCCCATCCCACACTGACTGGAGAAGCCTGTGGGCAGGCCTGTGCTCCAGTGCCTGATCCACACCTGGTTTTCAGTGAAGGTCTGAACAGAACTTCTGGATCTGGGCCAACAGGGGGCTGTCTGAACATGCCAGGAAGGGTCTCCTGCCACACTCTTTTCCCAGCAGAAAACCATGGAGCAACTCTGCAGTGAGACGCCCTGCCCAGTATGGCCCTGCCTTTCCTCCTGACCCTCCTCCCCTCCTCCCAGACACGTAGAGGGCACAGGCAGCACAGCCCTTTGGGCAGCAGGTCCTGAGGTAAGCCCTGGGACTCTGTCCTGCTCAACATTCTCGGGTGGGCACAGGCTGAGTCCTGGAGTAGTGGGAGGAAGTAACCAAAGAAAGGAAACCAGTGGAACTGGCCTACGGGGCCCACACCTCCTGGAGAGGTTGCAGGGTTCCAGCCTGGGGGACAGCCAAACTGGGCCACCTCCAAGCCTCCTCCACAGGGAGATGGACTGCTATTTTGTGCCTTCCCTGTGGAGTACACACACACCAGCAGCACGCCAACAGCGCACGGAAGCAGACTACGGCAAGGGACAGGGAGGGACCATGAGGACAGGCAAGGAGCTCCTGGAGAGCGTATTTCCCAGGTTCAGCGCCGCTTAATGAGCTGGGGACTCATTAACACCATCTCCTGTAACTGCTCCTGATGACCTTGCAGGGGAACCTATTCAGAGAGGGCTCTGGGCTCCCGGGTTACACACAGAGAGCACCAGGTCACAGAGTGTATGGGGGAGCACTTTTTGGGTATCAAATGACCTGTTCATATGACCTCAGTTAACCTTCCCAGGTAGGTGTGACTACTTCCATTGTGCAATAGGAAAACGGGCCCAGGAGAGAAAACAACCAAGCTGGAAGTCAAAGCAACTGGCTGAAGTCCCATAGAGAAGACAGAGTCTAGACAGGCCACCAGACAATGGCTGCTCACAAGGATGAAGTGGAGGGCTTCCTGGGCTCCAGGTGGAGGTGGGGGGACACAGCAGATACACCTTCGGCTGCCCAGGCCCTTGCCCAACCAACCCAGTAGCTTCCCCACACTGACTCCAACTAGCCTGGTCATTTTAAGTATCCAGGTCCCTTCTCCAGGCTATCTGGGGGCTGGAGAGAGAAACCTCTCATTGTGTCTCTTCCATAAGCTCCATTCCTTTCTCTGCTCAACCTCATTTCATCAGTAGCAAATGCCTGTTCACCCTCCTGTCTACTTTCCAGGAAATCTCTCAATCCCTTCCTAAGATGCTTGGAAAGTTGTATCCTCTATGGCAGGGACACCCCAGCATAGTTGGTGGTACAGTCTGTGTATCAGGGGTGCCTCCACCCAGTGAGTGGGTTCTTCCCAGCCAAACACCAGAAAAACACACACACACACACACACACACACACACACACACACACACACACACACGCGCGCGCGCGTGGGCGATCATCAGAATCAACATCTCCATTCAGGACCACCCTTTGTCCATGACCCTCCCATTCTGACAAGCCACAGGGCCCCAGGCGAGGGAGCTGTGCAGAGATGGAGTCAGCCCGGTGTGCCTGGGTTTCTACTGGTGCTGACTCAGCACTGATGCTGGGGCCTACAGGCTAACTCTTGGCAGCTGCTTCTCCACCCCCCCCTTCCCTCCGCTCCCTCAGAGGCCAGGGCCCCCATTCATTTGTCTCGTTAAGAGGCCTATAGAAACACATTTGTCCGCTCTGCGCTTCACTGCTCCGGTCGTCAATTCTCTGGGGCGCCTGCCCTACCTTCTGCAGCAGCCCTGTCCCTGTTTGGCTGCCTGCCCCTGGCTAGAAACTTCCAAGCTCAGCCCAGGCCTGGCCATGGTGGGAGACAGATCCAAGAGCGTGTGCAGCTTAGGGCAGGCCTGTGGGACAGACTGCCTCCCAGGACCAGGTCACCATCGTCCCCGCCCTAGCGTCTGCCCCATGGTTCACTGTTGAAAAGGAAAGCCCAGCTCACCTGAGCCCCTCCACTTTGGTTAAGACAGAATATTGATTGGCTTCTTCAGCATTTCTGCCTTCAAGACCCTGGAACCTGGGATCTGGTCCATCGAGGTTCCTGGACTCAGCTTCTCCATCCTCAAATCCCTTATGAAGGTCCAGGCCTGGCTTCATTCCTTAGCCATTCACTCACTTATGATTTTAAGTACTCCCCCCACATGCCAGGTTCTGAGCTGGACAATAGCCTGACTCTCCCTAGGACTCACAATCTGAAGAGACAGATCCAAAGCTGAAAACCACAATCAAAATGCTGCTGTTGTTATGTACCACGGGGGTATAACTGGCTCATGGCTGACATCCCAGTGTGTTTTCAGAGACTGTAAATCCCGCAGGCGGAAACTGACTGTCATTGTCCCATAGAGCAGTTAGTGGATTCGAACTGCCTGCTTTTGGGTTAGCACTGCAGCTCTTTACCACCAAGCCACTAGAACTCCCTACAATCACAACAGTGGCACAGGAGTAAAATGTGACTCAGGCTCAGAATCAAACAGGCTCCTGGAGGAGGTGATGGTGTCAGCTGAGCAGGAACTATTCAGGTAAAGGGCATGCAGAAGAGTGCTCCAAGCAGAGGAAAAGGAGGGAAAGGGCCTGTACACCAGACAACACGGAAACAAGTGAGAGATGTGAGTACAGTGGGGACTAGGAAAGGACGAGGGTGGCAGCGGCTGGAGGAGGGCTAAGACCCTTGGAGTCCATCCTGACGGTAACAGGTGAAGGCAGTGAGTTTTCAGCTGAGGAGTGCAACATCAGGCTTTCATTTTGAAACATGACTCTCACTTGGAAATGAAGAATCGCTGAGAAGGGAAGGGACTGGAGGCAGGAAAACCATCAGGAGGCTGTGTATGCAAAAGCCCAAACAAGAGCTGAGGGTGGCTTGAATGAAGGCGGTGGAGAGAGAGACGTGGATGCGTTCCAAAGATATTTAGAAGTTAAAACAGCAGAACTCAGTGATGGATTAGATGTAGGACATGAGAAGGAGGAGTCTGGGCGGGTGACCCTATGGATCAGGATGCCACTCACCGAGGGGTGGGAGAGAGAGTACTGGAAGGGGAGCTGACTGGGGGAGCAGAGCAGGGGTCACGGCAGGCTGGTGGGGCATGCTGAGTTTGAGGGAGGAGGGGAAATTTGGTTGTTTTCCAGGATGTGCTTGCTGTTCCTTCAAGCCACACCCTGCCTGGCCTCAAGCACCTGTGTGAAGGTCCTAGGAAGGTCCAGGGTCAGGGCAATGACAAGTACTTATGTCAAAGGGCAGCTGCTATCTCTCATCTCTAGCTCTGAATAAGATCACCCTTCCCTCCAATACCTGGATTACATGGCTGAGGAATTCCATCCCCACCTGCTCCTTCAAGTTCACGTTCTCGCTCACCAGTCCCAACCATGCTTGGCAATTACTCGATTTTCTCTGCACATGACTTCCTGTTAGGCCTCAATTCTGCCTAGCCCTCTCCTCGTTGGCACCCCAATGCTTCCTTCATGGTACCCCTAATCTCCTGGGAGGCTTGTCTTCCCCACCCCCATTTCTTCCCTTACCCCTACCCAGGACCCAGCCTCTGAGGACAAAGGGTGGGGCTGCTCAAGGCAAACCCGCCTCCAGGATGTGGTTCTGAATAATTAATTAGGATCCAACATAAGTCAAAAACTGAATGGGGCACAGGAAGTGATGTGTGCCCAGGCTCAAAGAGGAGGGTTGGGGAAGTCCTATGGCCTGCTGACTCCTAGGCTGACCCCTGGGTTGGCCCTTGGTTGCCTCTGGACTCTGGACAGACTGGGACCGGCCCCTTTCCCCAGGGACCTTGGCTCCGACCTCGCCCCTCCCCTTTGGTCTGCAGATTGGCTAAATCTGCCCTGCGCCCCGCCTTCCACCAGTAACCAAGCAGTGGTAACCATGGCGACGGGGCGGGCTGCGGCCAGTCTTATAGTACCAGGCGGGGGAAGGGCGGCAGGAAAGGGACCAAAGTTCGGAGTTGGATATGAGGTACAGATAGTATCCCCTTACAGACACAGTCATGGTGTAGGAGTTGCTCAGCTCCTTGCTGGTCAAGTGCAATCTTTCCCTAATTTCTAGGGCTGAGAGGTTGAATAGTGGGTGTGGGGGTGTGTGTGAGGGGGGCTGTGTGGGTGTGTAACACTTTGCCTTGAAGGTCCCTGGTTAAAGGGGAAAGAGGAGCTCAATGTCCTCACTACTGGATGTTGAGAGTTTAGGCCAAAAGAAAAGCTATGGATAATTCTGGCTTCTGAAACCACCCTGGACTTGTGGAAACACCTGGCATCGCATTCCCAAGTTCTCACATATAACCCAGCACCACACTCCTATTCCCATGCCAACCCCGATGCCTCCACATACATCTGCAATGATGGACACATCACATCCCTGGGCACATCACACGGTGACCACATGAATGAATCCAGGACATGTCCTATCCTAGCTACATAAAACAGGGTCACGCTTAGACATGCCCCATCCTGTGCTGGAGGGACACACACATTTCACAGGCTGCTTGGAGGGGGGCCACCAAATGAGGGTATCTCTAGGACAAAAGATCTTGGGGGATGTATCTGGCTACCTGTCTCCTCATCCTGGTCTTGTCTCTCATCCCAGAATCTGGGAGGAGGAATACTACCTCTTACCCTGGGCCCTGCCTCTTGAAGGGTCACACTTACTGTCGCCATGGGTGCCTGCCACCAAGCCAAGCATCACGAGCGCAGGCACAAGGGGCACCATCGTCTTCCCTGTAGCTGGCTCAGGGGCCATCCACGGCCTAGGACAATCAAACCTGTGAGGGAGAGAAGAGCAGAGCCAGTTAGCTGGTGTCCACCAATACCTCTCCTGCCCACCATGCTGCCTCCTGGCCGCCCTAATCTCCCCTAGACCATCTTTCACTGCCAGAGTCTAGTTCAGCAACAGCCCCCTTGGCATATGCACAATGACCACCAGACCTTTTGACCTGTGGCCACCTAGGCTTCTCAATGATCCTCCAGTGCCAGGTTAAGTGGGCAGTGTCACTGTATGAAGAAAGTTTGTAAGAGGACTTCAGGTTAACTCTCTGAATCCTGCAGGTGAGTGGAGGCTGCTAGACTGTATCCACCCCAGAACCTGAGCTTCCAACTCACCCTAATAAGGGGAGATGGTGAGAGAGGGAGCTAAAGACATACAGAGATACAGAGATGAGCATGAGCACAAGACAGAGGTAGGGAGCAGCCCACAGTCCCACACAGGGTTGGTGGGATATGCCACATCCCCAGGTTATCTTCCTTCTCCTCCTCACTCCATCAGGCAGGGAGGGACTGTGGCAGGAGGCTGGATCCCGCATGCCGAGCACAGAGGCCCCTGAGTATAGACTTGTAAGAAGCAGACAGGATCCAGGTATCAGAGGCTAGAAGCCAAAGCCACAACCCGCCTAGGCTCGCCAGGGCGTGCTCTCCACAAACTATCGCTGCCCTGACCAGCCACTCTCTTCCTACCCCATTCCCATGGCACCATCTCACTCCAAAGGGAAAATAAAGGGAGGCCAGGAACAGGGGTCCTGGGCCCTAAGAATCTAGCCCTTACAGTCTGGTCTGCTCTTACCACAGAAGCCCTGAGCAGGCCTACAGTGGGGAGGGCAGGGCATGAACTGCAGAAGCCATTTGCTTGATATTTGTGCTGAGGCTGATGTTTGGGGCAGGCTGACTATCTTCAGGCCTTTGCACTAAGGCTCCTCTGCCCAGAGTGATGGTGAACTTCTGTCACCTACACACTCAGGCGACAGAATAGTCCTGATCAGAGCTGGGATGAGTGGACTCATAATGGAAAGAGAATCTCCAAGGAGGTGTCAGGGCAGGTCAATGGAAAGATAAGTCTGGTCCTTCTTGGAATTTAGACACTTATCTCAAGTGTGAAAGTCAGAGGTCATGAGGTCAGAAGTAGTGGATCAATGGACAAAGAGATGGGATTTTGATGTGGGATGGGGGCTGAACACAAAGGAACAGGGATGGGTGTCCAGGGTCTTCCTGCCAGCCTGAGATAGGAGCTTAGCAGCAAAAGCAAAAAGGGCAAAGAGGCATAACGGGCAACCAGCTTATTTACACCAAACCTGGAGTTCTGCTGGGAGAGATCACAGAGCTCAACTGGCTGAGACCAGCAGACAGCTAGCTACCTGACTGCTTGCAGGGACATACTGGGATGAAGGCCATGCCCTACTAAGGCCTTGTCTGGGTTTGGTCACCCTGACACCGGGGTGCTACAGTGCAGCCAACATAAGGATTCGACTATAAGGCAGGTAGTGAGTTGCCTGGCCCAGGTTATTAGGAGTTTATGGTCCCTTGGTACAAACAACCTGTAGCCCTGGTACAGATGTTACAGGTTTATAACGCAGTGGTGGTTTACACCAAATGGCACCGTGGGGTGAAACTCCCTAGTATAATATGCACAGAGGCTTAACTCCCAGGTACAAACATTCTAGGTGTGCCACCCTTTAGTAAGAGCCCTGGGTGGTGAATCTGGTTAATGTGCTCAGACTGCAAGGTGGAGGTGCCTAAGAGGAAAAGCCCAGTGATCGACTTCCAGAAAACGAGCCCCTGAATGCTCTTTGGAGCACAGCTCAAATCTTACTTGACACCAATGTTTTTCTTTCTTTTTTTAAAGTTCCCAATAACATCATAGGGGTGTTACCCTCCAGCACAAGCATCACGGGGAGAGGGAGTGATGAGGTACAACTGCACAGCACTGTCATCATGGGGTTATAACTCTCCATATGACTATCATAGAGGCTTAACTCCCTGCAGCTGCCTGGATACAGTAATCATAGCAGCGTACCTCCCTGGTGCAATCGCCAAGGGGTGTAGACAGTGAATACAGACATCATGGGGGAGAGCTGCCGGATATGGCATTATAGAAGTATAACTCCCCAAGGCATTTAGAGAGAGCTGAGGCTCCCTTTTCTAGACATCATGGGCAGTCCATCTCTAGTTGCTAGTATTAAGAGTGATTCTCCAGTTATGGCCATATGGTACAACGTTGGATACTATTCCAGCCAAGAGTGCCAGAAAATCCTGGCTAGAGGACCTCCCCTACTTCCCCTTCCCCTTCTATCCCTAATGTGATATTAACAAGTGCCTTTACTTGGGGGCTCCAGTAATGGCTCTGGAGGGCTCAGAAAACTTTGTTCAGATCCAGAAAGTAGGACACACAAAAGTGGAGAAGCTGAAAACAAACACATTCCTCCCCAAAGGGTTTTCCCCCAGTGGTCCATGGACACACAGACAGACATCAGAGTGAAGGGGAGAAACAAGGGACACACACAAATACGACACATTCTCAGGAAACTCCTTTGGCAACCACACAACTGCCTGAGCAGAGCCCTGTCCCTCACCAGCTCCTGGTGTGAGCAGGCTGCCTCCTGCCCAAGACTCCTGGGCACAGAGCCTGCCTGAGTGTCAGGGAGTTCAGGCCACTCCCACTTCGAGAGGCTCCCTCGTCAGGACAGACCAGGCCGCAGCAGGCCTGCCTCACACCTGTCCCTGAGTGTTCAGGGTCACCTGGAGAGAGAAGGTTGGAGAGGAGCAGGGCGATGAAACCATGACTAGCCTCGCTGGGGTTGCCAGACCTCTTGAATTGAGTGCAACAGTGTTAACAGCAGAGCATCCATGCTACCAGCATGGCTGGGTGAGCCTGGGTTTTCAATGACTGAGATAAAAACAAGGCCTGGAACAGCTGGACACTCAAGCTCGCCTAGGAACTGCGCTGTGGACCAAGGATTCTACCAAACTGACATACTTGGACAGGAAAACAATTACGTATTATGGCACAGTGTAGAGAATAATTGAGTGCAATTTCTCTACATTCAAAATGGTTTTAATATATCCTTTTTCTTTGCTATGTCAGGATAAAGCTGGCAACTGTCCTTTCTTGGGAAGAACTGTCCTTTATTCTCAAATTTTGTCCTTGGTGCTAAAATGCCCTCTTCCTCCATGAAATGATGGTGATAGTAGATAGCTGTTGTTTTTTATAATGCCCTTACTTGGCAAAATAAAAAACTGCCAACCCCATGTCTGGCCACAAGTACTTTTGGAAATTGTACTGGCTTGTGAAATCGAAGAGTCTGGGAATTACTGCTTTGAGGGAAAAGAAAGAATAGATACCACCAAGCTTTGGATTCACATGCAAATGTCATGGAAAACGTGTGTTACCCAGAAGCCTTGTCTATGAAGCCCACCCTGAACACCCTGCCAACCCCAATGAGGGGCCTAAGGGACTGTGTGATGCCAGAAATGGGGGGGAGTTCCCTGGCTGGAGAACAGCTGGGATCACTCCTGAGTCCTCCTCATAAATATGCAAACACAGATTGATTTGTTTCCCTTGGGACCAAGTTATTCTTCACAAATATTAATTAGTATTCAAATGCCACCTGTTCATATAGCCTCCTCCTGGAAGCCCTCCTCAAGCCAGGACCCTAACTCCCAGGAGGCCAGGACCCAGAAATGGACATCGGGCAGGAGGTGGTATCTAGGGCCCCACTGCCCGAAGGGCAAAGGGAGAGGACAGTGTGAGGGCACTGAAACCAGGGGCCAGGAGAGCTGGGAGCAATTCATCTTCTAACCGGTGGGCAGCTAACCGAGCCCTTTTGTCATGTCCTGGACAGTTCACTGTGTGGTATTGCAGCAGCAGCCACTGAGGCGGAAGCAGGCCTTGTTACACTTGGGAAGGGAAAACCAACATGTTTCCAACTCTCACCAAACCAACCGCCGGATTATGATGGGAATATATCACAGCCTCTGTCACGACCCCAGCCTCAGGGAAGGAGGCGGCCGGCAGGAGGGGGCAGAGGCTGCTTTCCTACTTCACCTAGTTTGTCAGCACAGCTACAAAGTATATTCCCTCCTGCATTTGGTATTGGCTCTCCCTACAGCTGGACTATTTCCCCATCCTCCAAGAGCCCTAAGATTCTGTCTCCCCTGGGAGAGGAGATTAGGAGTGTAGGCCCAACAGAAGGAGAATCTCAGAGTCTCAGGGGGTAGCAAAGTGCCCAGCAGAGGCCCTGCTCCTGGGGCAGAAGATCAAAGACGACCAGTAGAAAGAAGCACGTTCCGACAGCAGCAACCCAGCAACCCTTATGCCACTAGCTCTACTTCCTACACTGGAGTGGGCCTCCCTTGCATTAATGCTCACCAACTCTGCTGCTTCCAGTCCTCTGTGCTGTCATTCTCTCTATTGGTAAGAATGCCCTCCTCCTGTCCCCAGCCACCCACTCACCCTGTGGAACTCAGCTCAAGTGGCCCATCGCTGTGAAATCCTCTCTGATTTTCCCTCCTCCTGTCTCCAGAATTGCACAGCATAATGAAGAGAACAAGAGGTGGTACAGTTCAGGGGTTCTCAACTCGGTGATTCTGGCCTCCCCAAGAGACATTAGACAACATCTGAAGACATTTTTTTATTGCTATGACTTGCAGAGGGGGGTAGTTAGAGACCTAAGGGTATCTGGTGTGTGCCATCAAAGGGATTAGACTCAGAGCAACCCCTCAGGAGAGTTACCCCAAAGGGTTTCCTGGGTTGTAAATTTTGTAGGAGCAGAATGCCAGGTTTTTCTCTTATGGAGCACCTGGTGGGTTTGAACCACCCACCTTTCCCTGAGCAGCTGAGTATTTAAACATTTTGCCACCAGAATTCTGGTTATCAAGTGAAAAGAGCAGCTGCTAAACATCCTACTATATAACAGGCCAAAGTTTACAAAAAAGAATTTTCCAGTGCAAAATGTCAGCAGTGCTGATGTTGAGA